TAACTAACCACAACCTGTTATGTATTAAAAATCCAATTTTTAAAGATTAAAATTCTACATTAAAAACAAATTAGACAGACCAGGTGACCTGCCTATCATAGGCCAAGCCTAAAAATCGTAGCTTGTGTCTGTCACAAACAGGCAGGCCATGTGGCCTGCTTAGGGCTCAGTAGAGACTATATAACAAGCTGTTATTTGAAGTTCTAGGTTCGATTGTGATGAGAAATGGAATGGTATTGGACAATAAAAATTTAGACGAAGAACTTGTCTCACAGCGTGAAATTGAAGAAAACTGGGAGGAGCTCGTTGTTGCTGGACCTATTATTGTCAATTACATCGGCAACCTGATTGTATTGTCCAGCAAATATGATTTTGCGTTTATACCACCGACACCTAATTACATCTATAAGCACATCAAGCATCCGAATTCTTTCCAAACTACTCTAGTGCAGGTTGCCAACGAAGTGTACAATGCATTCATCAATGCGCATACAAACATGTATCGAATTCAGTCGAATATGCAGTTAATACCAAATCACTTAAAGACAGTTTTCAAACTGCTAACATCAGCCTCACCTCGTCTCATTCAATCGATGCTTCCAATGGCACTAGGTAATATAGAGCGAATTGCGAAGCAATGTGCTGATTCTGCTAATAGTACACGGAACAATTATGCAAGTGTAACAGCTCTTCTACAAGAAATAATGGAAATTACAGTAGGAACGTATGGTTACAACCAGAATGAGCTGAATCACACAATTCAGTTAGTGAACAACTTAACTGGAGAACAAGAAATATTAAGTTCGCAGTTGGAAGAGATTCGAACAAACTATGAATTGGCACGAAAAAACTTAGAAAAAGCCCGAGAAGACTATTACAATGCATTTCACGCTATTCCAACACGATCGAAAAGGTTCCTCGGATTTGTTGCCGCTGGACTAGTGGGAGGCTTTCTAGGATCCCTGTTCTCGTCTGGTGGTAGTTCACCGGCTCCCATCGATAATATGGCATTTCAAAATGCAAAAGATAAAGCAGAATTAGCATTGAAATATCTTAAGGAAGCAGAAGTAAAATATGATGAATGGTACTCACAAATGCTGGAGAAGCAGAATAAGCTAACTGCAAGTATAATGCAAATATCTCAATTGAACATGGATCAAACAGATTATCAGACTACCATTAATATTTTGGTGCGTGCAACAACGGAAATCACTGAAATCCAAAAACAATGGACCAACATGACTAGATTTTTTAGTGCATTAGCAATACGAGCAGAAATGACTCGAGAGACCATATTGTATGAGTTTATTGAAGTCATCCAAAACGTGATACTAATTAATGGAGTGATAGATGATGCTGATCGAGAATTCTTCGTTTTATCAATGCGTGATGTTGCGGATGAGATAGAACGTGGTGCGCACTTACTATACATCATGTCAAAAACATATTATGATGTTAGCAGTCAGTACATGATAACTCAAATTTTAGAAATCACTGGATTTGTAATAACGCAAACAGATGATGAACGAGAAGCCCGCTTAAGGAAGCTTGCACAGGACACGTTGTCAACATCCGCAAAAGTTTCAAGGATGGCATTAGAACGAAAACAACAATACAAACAACGAAATCAAGCGAGACAAGAAGAATACAGACAATACATTCAACAAGTCGCTTTGGAGGGATTAGAATCATCCGTTGGAAAATAATCTTTTTTTGTAATATGAAAAAAACATGATAGCAGGTACTTCTACACAACATGCGTCGCTCTTACTTGCATGCAGTGGATTGTCCCAGAAAAAGCACTGTATGTGAGCAAAAACAGTGCATATACGATAGAAGTACAAGAAAATGAAATAAAAAAAACGAATACATGCTAAAATGTCATTTAAAAACTATCCATTATGAAATGCTCCCAGCATGTTGATCTTAAAAACTGTTCATCAACATGAATGTCCCTGATAAATGGTCTCTCGTGTGAAAATATCAGTCATTCTCAATTGTTGATTTCTATATGGAAAGAATCAAGTAAGAACGAAAAAATACACCTTTAGTTGTATCTATGACATGTTTGATAAATAATAAAAAGAAAATATTTTTAAATGGCATCACAAGCAGCAGTGGACGATTGGATCAATCGATAGGGAAATTGTTCCTGTTTAAGAAGAAATGGTTCACCCCTACAAAAAGTAACACTTATAAAGAAGAAATGGAAAAAAAAGAATATAAACATATATCTATCATGTTTGATTTACGACAAAGAAATATTTCAGCAAGAAGAAATAGAACGAAAGAATACGAGTATATATCTATCAATCTACACATCATCTCCTATTTTTCATTTCTGCTTATTAACGGTAAAATGGATGAAGGATTTCTGCTAGAAATATTTACATTTCAGCTGTAAAAAAATCCATTTCTACTAGAATTTCTTCTTATAGTGAAAAACTAATTTTGTTCATTTCTACTTATGCTGTAAGAATAATCTGATCGATTTCTTCTTATGCCTTATATATTTCTTCTTGTGAGGATAGATATAGTTGATGCGTTACTAATCGAAAAAATTTAGTGGGTGCGGGTGTGGATAAAATGGAGACCTACATCCACACCCATAGGCCAAAAATTCGGTCGATTATCATTACCCGATGAAAGCAACTTTTTAGCACCATTTTGTAGCTAAGACTTTCCTCTTTCTACCTACATAACTTGATCACGGCTTTGAGCTCGTTTTAGCCATCAGGTAATTCAAAAACTATCTAAACATACACTTTGATCATTTTATGTCACAACAGATTAATGTGAAGTTACTGAAGCTGATTTAAAAGCAAACTCAGGTTTTCCTTTTTTGTTTGATAGACTAAAGGGTGAGTAATCCTTTGATAAAATTTTCTTTTCTAGGAACCTCCTAGGTCAAATAAAAATTTTAAAATAGGAGTGAGGAGTAGGTATTTTTCTACTAAATGTCATAACAGATTTTTGATTTTGTTTCTTTGATATCTCGGTAACTATAAGAGACTAGAGGCCCCTGTGAAGTGTTGAACTTTAAGATTATAGAAAAAATTGATTTAATAAAAAAAATTTGAATTACTATTTGAATTATTAAATAAAAAAGGAATTACTAAAGTTATAAACTCAAAACATTAAGCCTATAGAATTCACGAAAAAATCTCCCGATAAACAACATTATCTGTTACTGTTTGCTCATTATTCGTTGTTCCCTATCTAGTGGTATCTTTTACTTGAATTTTTAAACCATTAGATTTCATTGCTCTTGAACATCCTGTATAAAACTGACCGTGAGAAAAGCATGGTTCTGGAGGATAGAGGCCAACTTTATCAAAAGTTTGACCTTGAGATTTATTTATTGTCATCGCATATGCAAGCCGCACTGGAAACTGGTGTCTAACGAAATTGAATGGAAGTGCGGGATCATTCGATGTATCCAAAGAAATTCTAGGAATAAAATGAACAGTTCCAGAAAATGTACCAGTAATAATCTTCAATTGAAGTACGTTTTGACGAAAGGCTCTGACAATCATTCTAGTTCCATTGCACAGTCCTTTGTTTACCGAAAGATTTCTCAAAAGCATTACTATACAACCGACTTTTAAATTTAATTTATACGGTGCTAATCCAGATGGATTCAAAGTATTTAGAAATTCTACCGGAATATTGACTTGTAAACAGAGATGTCCATCGCGGCGCTGCCGCGGTGGCGGTGGCGGCGCGGCAGCGGCAGGTTTTTAAAAAAAATCACCGCGGCAGCGGCGCGGTAGCGGCAGATTTTTTTAAAAGTCATCGCGGCAGCGGCGCGGTAGCGGCAGGTTTTTTAAAAACCATCGCGGCAGCGGCAGGATTTTTTTGGAGGACATTGAAAAACTGTATGAATTTAATAGAATTTCACGATTTACAAATGAAACGCCCTGATATTGAATAAATCTGATGGACTAGTACCCATATCTCTGGTCAAATATAGTCACAGCAGTGAAATTAGAAACACTTTTTTGAAAATCGTCGCGGCAGCGGCGCGGTGGCGGCACGTTTATTTTATAATTCATCGCGGCAGCGTTTCTTTTATAAGTCATCGCGGTGCGGCAGCGTCGCGGCAACATTTTTTTATAAACCGCCGCGGCGCGGCAGCGGTGCGGCAGCTTTTTTTTTCTAAGGCCGCGGCGCGGCAGCGGCAGATTTTCAGCCGCGATGGACATCTCTGCTTGTAAATCATGATCGTCTACACCATCATCATTTTTTATAG